ACTGACAATTTGCAATACAAAGACCAATTTGTTGATTAAAATATACTTATTATCTTCATAACTGCAATTTTGTGCCTATCAGGCATTTTTGTAGGGTATTAACAATGCTTAAAACAATGCTATCTTCTTTTTATACCAATAATTTACTCAATGCAATTCACACTTTCATACAATTTGCTTCAGCCGTTTCTTAAGCGCACAAAAAATCATTTTTTTTTTCAAAATCCAATCTGAGATATTATTGTCTACAAAACGGAGTAAAATTTGCACATACTTAAATGCAGCTTCTTCAACTGTTTTTTAGATAAAAAAAACATAATATTCAGCTTGGCCATGAATTTCAAATGAAGTGCGCACTAAATTGTTTTGTGTTCTCGGGATTATCGTGGAAGAAAAAGCAAAAATCGTTTTCTGTAATTGCTGTGAGAATGGTTTTTGTTTCATTCAATCTAAGAAGTACAAGTTAAGAAACTTAAATTCAATAGTTCATTTCGAATTTTTCATCTGTAATATCTGGAACACCGATTTTTTTATCTGTATTATCTGAAACATTATTTATCTGAAATTATATGAAACTTTGTTTGTCTGAAACATTATTTATCTATTTTATTTGAAATATTTATCTGAATTCTTTTATCTGAAACATTTTTATCTGTATTTTTTGTATTATCTGAAACACCGAATTATTTATCTGTAACTGTTGTGAGATTAGTGTTTGTTTCATCCATTCTGAGAAGTGAAGTTTTGAAGTAAATTGACTTTTAAATTGAATCGAATGAATTGAATTTGAATTGAATGCGTTGCTTTACAAAACGAAGATTTGTGAAAGTTTAACCATACCCATGTAGATACTCTTGGTAAGAAGTGTTTATATTTTATGTAATTTAAGGATGAGTAACTGAGAAGACATTTAGTAGGCCTCATAGAACACTTCATTTATAAATTGCTAAAAGATAAAAAAACATAGAATAAATTTGTTTTTCTGTTTTTTAAAAATAGAAGATCCCTCCCCGTTTTGATCGCTGGTTTAATTTTTTCACTGTACGCAAAAAAAATTGTCTGACAAAGTTTTGCTCGGAGTGCTCGGAAAATGGAAGGCATTACCGAGAAAAACTTTCATCTCATGATAGCGGTTGGGTTCTTCAACGTGTAATTGAGCTTTATAAAAGTTTTGGTAAAATTTTATCAATCAGAAGCTGCTCATTGTTTATACCTCTTCCTTTCCTTTTAAAATATAAATTTCCAATAATTGATTAATCGTAACTACAACGATATTCGCAACATTGTAAAGTTCGTAACTACAGCGTTCGGATAGTTTTATCATGGTTGATCAACTAACAAAATGGTCAAAGAGTGTTTATCTTGTGTGCGCAAAGTCGGAAACCGATAAACAAAAATTTGAAAAGTTTTTTGAAACTTTTTTAAAATACTTCGAATTTACTTTTTTTATAAAAAAAGATTTATGCAATGATCCCTAATCATTTGTATGTACAAAGTGTTTTTCAGTGAAAAAATGCCCCCAACGTTTTAATCTTTGAGTTTGAGAATTTTTGTTCTTGACATAAATCCCAAAAAGTTCTTTGTGTGAGTATCTGTGGGTCAGGGGGGATGAGTAAAGCTTTTTATTTTTTATTTGAGGGAGTTGAGTCCTTTGATAAGGGTGTGTACGTGTTTTTTTGGTATTCAAAACCATTTGTTAGTTCATTTACAAATCAAAAACCGAATTGAATAATAAGCAACATTTTTGTATAAATTTACAAGCAAATTTTCTGCAAAGGGCAAAACTAAGGTGACGTTCGTTGACTAAAGAAAATTACCTTAAAATTCTCACATCTGAAAAACTTGTACGAATCGAAAAAACTCGACCCATCTCCGAGAGTCATGTTCTGAACACGAGCTAAAAAGAACCGCACTGTCAACCTTCGATGACAAGAGATACATCCTTAGCGATAGAATCTCCACATTGCCATGATTTGAATGCTTCTATCCTTACTGATGGTATTGATAGCAACCAGGACAATAGGGGTATAGAACTGTGAGTGAAACAAATATCACCAGCAACCACAAAAACAAAAATACAAGCCCTTGATTGAACTTCTTCCAATAGAAAGGTGGTTTTTCAACAGCGATCCAGAAAAATCGAATCAAAAAGAAAAATTCAGGCAGGCAATGATTTACTGTCCAGAAAACTGCGACAACCAGCGTCCCTTTTAGCTCAGCCTTGAATGAAAACAGGGCCAACGATATTACAACTTCTCAGCTTTAATTAAAATTTTTGAATCAGCCGTGAAACTTATTTTTGAAACTATCATCGTTCTAAACAAAAACATGAAATAAATGACTCACCATATTAACTATTTTGAAAATAAAAAGTGATTCAAAATTGATTTTAGGAAAAGTTTCTAGCTGACCGTGCAAATTGCAGTTTTCGGCTGAATTTGACTTAATCAAACATGCTACTGTTATGCCGATCAAAGCCTGCAAAGCCTGAAGATGAACAAGCTGAAAATTTCATTGATTTGATGATACAAACCTGTACGCAAAATAATTTGTCTGATGAACTGTTTCTCAAAGTGCTCGCAAAAATGGAAGGCATTACCAAGGAAAACTTTCATCTCATGGTAGTGCTTGGGCTCTTCAACGTGTAAATGAGCTTTATATTACATTTGGAAAAATTTTATCAATCAAAATCTGCTCATTGATTATACCTCTTCCTTTCGTTTTAAAATATAAATTCCCAATAACTGATTATGTAAAATTTGTAACTCCAACGATTTTCTTAACGTTATAAAGCTCCTAACTACTGCGTTCGGATAGTTGTATCATGGATGATCAACTTATAAAATGGTCAAAGACTGTTTATCTGGTATACGCAAAGTCGGAAACCGATAAACAAAACTTGAAAAATACTTCGAATTTGTTTTTTTTTTGTTTTTTTTTGATTTTATGAAACATTTATGCAATGCATCTAAATTTTTTGTATGTACAAAGTGTTTTTCAGTGAAAAATGCCCCCAGGTATTAATCTTTGAGTTTGAAAATTTTTTGTTCTCGACAAAAATTCCAAAAAAATATTTTTGTGAGTATCTGTGGGTGAGGGGGGTTGAGTAAGGTTTTTTTTCAATGGAGGGAGTTGACTCCTTGGATGAAGATGTATACGTGTTTTTTCGGTTTTTAAAATCATGTACAAATCAAGAAACGAATTGAATAATAGGCAACGTTTTTGTATACTTTTACAAGCAAATTTTCTGCAAAGGGCAACACTAAGGTGACGTCTTTTGACTGAAGACAAATACATCAAAATTCTCACTTCTGAAAAAACTTCTACGAATCGAAAAAAAACTCGGTTTATCTCCGAGAGGCATGTTCTGAACACGAGCAAAAAAAGAACCGCACTGTCAACCTAAGATGACAAGAGATACATCCTCAGCGATAGAATCTCCACTTTGCCATACTTTGAATGTTCTATTTTTAATGATTGATTTGATAGCAACCAGGACAATGGTGGTGATAGAAATGTGAGTGAGAAAAATATCACCAGCAACCACACAAACAAAAAATACATGCCCATGATTGAATTTTTTGATTGACGGTCCAAAAAATTGCTTATCTATTATGAATACTCAACCGAGCCGATTGTTGAGAAAATTGTTGAATAGCGCCAGCATCATTGAAGCTTCAAACTCGGGTTTCTGATTAGCTTACCAAAAAAGTTGATTTGGTTGATCTGAACACAATTGCTTCTTCGTCGTCTTCGGAAAGTGCATGGTTTCTAGCTCGCAGCAATTGAAAACACACCACCGCTGTCCAAAAAACGTAAAACAAAGAAAAAATTCAAAAGTCGTGTGTTTGAAATAAGTTGAAAGCAAATTCATTTTTAAAAATGAGTGTGCTAAATTATTTACTTTCCACGTTTGTTCACATTTTGGTAATCGGGGGCTACCTTAACCCATATTTGGTTTGATATTACATTTTTTTAATCTGAAGTGTTTTTGGGAACCTGTCTCAAGGCAAACATCTGAGTGTGCCCACCGCCATCTGAAGTTTGTGGAGTTCTTCTGGACTTGAAAAGTTGGCCATAATTTCAGGAGGTCTATTTTGTATGTACAAAATACAACGCGATATGTAAGAACTGTTTACGCTGATGCTGCTTCAATACATTTTGGTCTCAAGTCAGCCAAATTGACGCCTTCGATCCCACATAACTTTAGAAAAAATGAATCATCAGAATTCTGAGCAAAAACATTGTTCTTTCAAATGATATAAGACAAAAAATGACATTTCCTTCAAACGACAAAAAAAATGCTAGTCGAAATTTGTCTGGAGAAAAAACCACCCCTAGCGAAAATCTTTCTTCACTTTTTTCGAATACTACGAAGTTCAATAGTTTAGCGGCTAGATTCGTAGTCTGTTTTGTTATGCGGACCAAAATTTATCTGATCTTTTAGCGTCTCAAAATTATCATAAAGTTGAATTAACTAACTTGTTTGATACTAAGCTTCTGATTGTTTTGTTAATTATTTAAGTCAACCTAATTGTAACCTTTTTTTTCAAAGTAATTAATTTTAACGGAAATTTGAAGCGTAATATCAAATATATCAGCTCATTGACGTTTGGTAATTTTGAGCCGCATAAAATAAAGACCCGAGGCGTAACCCGCAGGCTAAAGGAAATGTTTTAATCACTGACAATTTGCAATACAAAGACCCAATTTGTTGATTAAAATATACTTATTATCTTCATAACTGCAATTTTGTGCCTATCAGGCATTTTCGTAGGGTATTAACAATGCTTAAAACGATGCTATCTTCTTTTTATACCAATAATTTACTCAATGCAATTCACACTTTCATACAATTTGCTTCAGCCGTTTCTTAAGCGCACAAAAAATCATTTTTTTCAAAATCCAATCAGAGATATTATTGAAAAAATAATTTTACAAATAGCTTTTATTTTGCGATTTATTTTTGAGCTGAAACTTGAAACGATAGAATATTTCAGACAGACTCCAGTCTGACAGACGTGCTTTGAAAATGACACCTGAACCTGCCCCCGCAGATTTCAACTCTCGGCAAATACGAGACTTACTGAAACTTCTCGTGCAAGTTGGACACACCTCCGAAGATATTTTACGCTCTATTTGCGACAACAACACGAATAACAACGACACAGGAAACAATAACTCCTCTCGGACGGCCATTCGAAGCAACTCTGACTCGGCCACTCGCGAGTCAGTGCCGCCGACACAAAGCTACCCGAAGTTTCATATTTCGCCGCCTCCCGAGAAAGACCACGACTCGGAACCTTCGGAGTTTCTCGCAAATCACGTAAACAGAAGCTGCTTCAACAGTAATCTGGCGACTACTGACTTTGTGAACAAATTGAAAGTGCTTTTGGAGGAAGCAAATTCGCATGCAAATGGCTGTGCCGTGGGAAGAGGGTTCGGAGAGTTCCAGAAAAAAGACTCGTCTGAAGATAACTTCATGCTAAATAGCATTCCAGCTCACATCAGCAAGTAAGTTCAATCAGTCATAAAAAGAGCTTAAAACCCAGGCTCAACTAGCCGCAGAATGTTCAGCAGAATTTTTTTTGCTAATGTTTTGGCAAAATAATGGTTTGAATAATGTAACTAAATTGCAGTGTGCTTTGCGAAGAAAATTTACTTATCTGCTGAGCGAGCAGATTAAAATCTGGCCTCATAACTTATGACCTCAAACGATAGTATCGATTTCTAAAATTTAATTAAGTTAATCAAGAGGTTTCTATTGTTAACGTTAAAGTTTTTTTGGCTTCGTTAAGGAGTTAATTAGTTGACACCACTTAATTGAAAATACAAAAATTTTTAGAACTGACGGCTCAAGGTCATTAATGGTCATTGGTAACTTGCTTGCAGGGGCGAATTTAGGGGAGGGCGGACGCCTTCCTTCAGGGATTCGACCCCCTGCCTACCCAAAGGGTCCCCCTTTGTACTATTTTGAGATATTCATATTTGAAGGCGGACCCCAAAATTTTTTCTAAAGGAGCCTTCGGCGCCAATATATACTTACTTTGAGGGGGGAGCGCGCGCCAAAAAAAAACCCAATTTTTTATTCAAAATTTTCCAAAAAGGGCCCAAAAACGGGCTTAGAAAATTTGGTCTAAACAGCGTCTTTTATTGCTTTAGGAGAGCTCGGAAAATCAATTTGGTCGACCTAAAAAAAAGCCCCGCCCCCCTCGAGAAAATCCTAGATCCGCCCCTGGTAACTGGCACTGTCATTGAACAAAGTTCTGCATTTACTATAAATTTTAGTGGCATGACTGGAAATAAGCCGGCGAGAACAGTGAAGATCATGTTCGCATTTCTGTCCATCTTTGACATAGAGACAAAGAGACAGCAGTTCACCACTGAGTTGGTGCTGCAGGCTAGGTGGACTGAGCCCACTCTCAAACCGAAAGAAGTGAGGGATGGGACCATATGGAGGGAGAAGTTCCCAGCGCACCTGTGGGAGCCAAGACTCAGGTTCATTCTACTTTTAGTTCCGACCACTTCAATAAGTAGGGTGTTTTTTTTCTATGGCGTAGGATGTTTTTTCTTCGCGATCTTTAATGCGTCTAGAAAAATTCGTGAGTCGAGTAGGTAAAGTGTGGCATCAAATAATTGCCCCTTATGCCGTGTGATAAAATGTTCTTTGTTATACCTAATTCTACCTATGTACAGTTAAAAGTGTGTTAAAAAGTGAGTTATTCTCAAAGTAAAAACATTAAAAAGTGAGAAGGGCATTCTCTCCGCCGGATATCAAGGTCAAAGCTAAGTAACCAATCACAAATTATTTGGTAACTAGAACAAAATAGTGTGACTCACGACATTCCTCTTAATGGGAAAAAAATTTAAACTACAATTAGTTAAATGAATAAGGTAACTGATCCTTTTCTCCCTCTGAAGGAAGATAGCGAAGATGAAATAGTAAGCACCGACCAACACCACAGTAAAAATTTGTACTCCGACGGAGTGACTGATTAGTATAAGCGGCAGTTAAACTATGACTAAACATCTGGTAGTGCTAGAGGACTTAAAACAAGTTAAGGAGGCACCAAGATTATCCTTAGGGATAATAAAAGAGAAGAAAAAGTTTGAGTTTCAGTTATTTGGTTTGTTGCCTTCCATAAATTTTTCTGGCTCTGCATTGAAAGTTTCACTATCGAAGTCTATGAAATCATCGAAACTGTTAATGACTGATCGGTAGAGGACAGAGATAGTGGCTCGGATAAGGAAGAATTTGGCGAGCGAGCTGTATTTTCTGCCGATTGAATGCTGAAAATTGGGGTTTGTTTGTCCGACAAACTTCTGTTGATATTTCAAGAAGTAAGGCCAGATCGGTCATTGCCATCGAGAGAGATCGGATTTCGCGCGGAGCCAGGTTTGTAGTCGGTTTCGTCTATAATATCTATGTAAAACCTTTTACCATAGAATTGGGGAGGAAGAAACGTTTCGACTCGAGCGTCTTTATTTAAAATCGTTACCAGTGTTGATGGTCTCCTTTGGTTGGGTTTCTCTAACAGTCGCGTTTTCGTCTGAGGATTCAACGATTTCGAAAATTGGGAAGTCGACAGATTTGTCTCCCTCGACTTTCCTCCTTGTTTCCGCTGGAGTATCCGAGGGTTTTATCGTCAAGTCTAGAGTGATAGGATTGTGATGTTGTGAGGTAGTGGTACTTTGTCCTGCGGGAGTTATGCTGATTGGACAATCTAACGGAGCTGGCGTTTCAGGCGGGTCATCTAAAATCCCAGATTTTATATTAGTTTGAGATGTTTGAGTATCTAAAGAAGGAATATTGGGTTCATGCGAAGTAAAAATATCCGAGATGAGGCGTTCTCTGATCACATCCATGAAGGGAAAACCGCCCGCGATCCATTCACAATCGCTAATGTCGGATGTATCCGACGGAATGAACATAGATTCATCACCTGCTAAATAACCCGCGTAGGAAGTCGTGGCCTTGTTTCGAGTTGATCTGTTCTTAGTCGCTTTGTTGGATTGGTTTGATACTCTTGTCCTAGTGTTGTTGTCCGACGTGGCTGATTTTGTCACTTGTCTAGATTTGGTCCGGTTTTTCTTGTCTGTGAGGGTTTCTGTTTTGGAGTATTTCTTGAGCCTACTTGGAAATCAGTGATTGAAAATTATGGGAAAGAGATATTTCCTTTAAAAGAGCGAATTGAAGATAATTTAGATTTCGGAATAGCAATTTCGGATTTTCTGATGATTTTTCCATTGGATAATTTTAGCGTAGATTTTGATTTATTTATAATTTTCTGGTTAAGATGGTTGTAGAAAGGATTTCCGTTTATACTTTCATTATTCTTTCGAAGTATTTTACCTTTGAAAGGGCTTTGTAGAGGTAGGCGGGAAGAAGAAGGTTTGGATGTAGGTGGGCAGTCAGATTCGTACCCTTTCTCCGCTGGAGATTGGTTCTTCTTTGGGATTAGGCTGTCCTTGTAGTCGTCTTCAATCCGGTCGTCTGTCTTCCAGTCGAGAGCTCGTTCCTTGCTATAGATTGACTTCCCTCTGTCTAAAAATCCACCAGATAATTTACTAGTTGCCAATTGCTTCCAGATGGTATTCGGTTTTTTATTAGAGCGAATTTCGAATGGTGAGCATTTTTTTTTATTCCAAATGATTTTTGAGATAGCGAGTTGTAAAGAAGGTTTGTGTTGTTCGAAAATTCTGACTAGTAAAACAGGATACGTGGTCAACGCAAATAGACGTTGGAATTCCAGGGAGGTAAAAATAATCGTAGAGAAGTTCGATTACTGTGTTTGATGAGTTTGATGATGTTATTTTAGCCGATGGAAATTTTGAAAATAAATTGGTCTATGCATAATAGAAGATATTTGTTTTTCCTCCAAGTGTTGTCTAATGGGCCGGAAAAATCAAGATTTAACTCTTCGTTAGGTTCAGAAAGAGGTGGTAGTTCGCTGGTTTGGGTAATAGGAATAATACTTCTGATGTTCTTACCGGTTTGTGTGCATTCTAAACAATTTAGCCCGTGGAAGTAGAATTGCCGATTTATGTGTGGCCACCATATATATTGTGCCAGGTATTTCATACCGAATTGTCCAGGGTGAGATTCGTGTAAGGTTTTCATTACAGCATTCCAAAGGGAAAATGGGATAACCAATATTCCGTCCATAAAAAGTAATCCGTCGGATTCATGTAGGTCTTTTGTAAATTGGTTAAGATAATGTGAGTTTGCATTAATCTTTTCTACTTTATTTTGAAGCGCTTCTCGGTATTTAGACACTAGTTTTTTGTGTTCTGAAGAAATTGGGAAATCAATTGTGACCTGTATACCGGAAGTAGAAGGATTAATTACAATTTGATTATTTGACATATTTACACTCTTTATAATTTTACGGTCCTGCGAATTCATAATTAAGCTGCAATTAAGAATTAAGAAATAAATAAAAGCTGGATTTGATATAGTAATTTTTGTTGTGTCAATGATTGAAAAATCCGAAGGAAAACATTTGGAATTACAAAGTTCAGTTCTGTGGTGTTTTTGATTGAAACTTGGAATAGATGAGTTAATAAATTTAAGAGCTGTGATTATCACATAATTACGTAATTTTGTGTAATTGGAATTTTCTGTAGTTAAGCCAATGGTATTGCATAACAATTTATTTTTATCTGAAAGATTTAAGGCTTTGTATATTTTGTCGATAGTTGCGACTACGAATTCTTCATCAAATTGAGATGGGGGGTTGCTTTTTCCGAAGGGAATCTTGAAATTAGATCGGTAAAGCACATGTCTTTCCCTGCTAGATGTTTAATTGTGAAATTAAAGGTTGAAAGGCAATCGACCCAGCTTGTTAAGCGGCTGTGGTAAGTTTTGTTTCCGTGATTTGGTGGTAATGCTGAATGGAGGGCTTTATGTTCAAAAATAATTTCGAATTCGGAAACGTACTGATAGTTCTTATAGTGCTTAACCGCCCAAATAACTCCCAACAATTCCAATTCATTTGTCGAATATTTAGACTCGTGTGGGTTTAAAAATCCTGAAGCAAGAGATATCGTTTTCCGTTCAATTCCATGGGTTTGTTCGAGTGAAGCGCCCAGACCATTATGGGAAGCATCGGTTTTTACTCTCCTAACTCGTTTAACGTCAAAGTGAGTATTTTCTGTGAGGTTAACTATTTCTAGTTTTATTTTCTCGAACGCTTTTTTATGATCCTCAATCCAAGAGAAAATCGTTTTCTTGTTTAATAAAGGTCTTGAAGCGCTTTCGAGGGATGCTAAACTTGGTACGAATTTGATATATTGGTTTGTTGACCCAAAGAATGATCTTAGTTCTTAAAGGTTTTTTGGAGTTGGGATTTGTTTGATCGCTTTGGTTTTGTCGATTAGGGGGGCGATTCCTGACTTTGATATTTTAAAACCGAGCCATTCTTTTTCTTTTTGAAAGAATTTACATTTTAACCATTTGACTGCGAAATTGTAGTTATTCAAAGCAGATAAAATTTTATAAACGATGTTCTTGTGATCGATAAAACTTCCTTTGGAGGCAACTAAAATATCGTCAAGGTAACAATTAGTAAAAGGAATGTTTCCGATTAACGAGTCCATGATTCTTTGAAATTCATTTGGCATGTCGCTCAGTCCATAAAAACCGGTTAAAAATTGATATCTGCCCGTTATATCTTTGCCTTCCAGACTAAAGTTGCATTTGACTGCTAGTAAAATTGTCTAAGGAAAGTTGGCTATATGCGTTCTTTAAATCTAGATTTGTAAACCACATTTCTCCGACAGAATCGTTTGAAATTTGTGAGGCTACGTTGCCAACTAGTTCGTGGATGTTGGGCATTTGGTTTTTATTCTCGTAAATTTGTTTGTTAATGAATTTAGAATCTAGAGCTAACTTTAACGATTTGTCCGTTTTGCAGGTAATAACAATTGGGCTAATAAATCTGTTTTTGTCGCAATTTTCTAGTTTTTTGATATGTTCTTCGGATTTTAATCGGTTTAATTCTGTCTTTACTGAAACGAGTAAGTGAAGCGGAACGCGTCTGCCCTTTAATCGGATCGTTTCATGGAAATGTATTATCTTGGTTTGATTTTTATTATTTCCAACCCGAAGGAAAAGTTGTTCAAAGGTCTTGGATATCATATCTATTTCTTTCTCTTTGTTCGAAGAAGAAAATAAATTTATGGACTTACAAGTTTTCTTGTTGATGAAGTGAGGGAAATGATTCTGGGATACTTCAATTCCCACTTTCGGCAAATTGGCATTTCTAAGGATATTTCGTTCGTGTCCTTCCGTTAGAAAAAAGTGACATTCCCTGTGGGACCATCCATTCGAAAAAATTGATACGATTAGCTTTCCAATGATATTGATCGAGTTATCCGTGAAACCGCAATAGAGTTCTTTCGTCGCCTGATCCACCGGATATTTCTTCGGATATGGGTCTCGTAGCTTCAATTCATGAAGAACGTTTTGTTTGAGGAAGCTCACTGGACTAGCTGAA